GCACACATTTAATGTCATCCATTCAGTTGAATGTTTCACATATTATTTATCCTTTTTACCTTTTAGGAAAGCACATTCTGTCACTACATCCCCACAAGATTAAATTGCCAGAGACAATGTAGGCTATCTGCAAAACCGAATTGAGGTTTCTGTTTAAATTTAGTTCCTTTCATCTCCAAGTAACCTAGATGGCTGAGGCATTAAATGACAATTAATGGATAACAGAATAACCCACTTCCGAATTTGTTCCTGTGTCTGGGTCATTTTTCTGGGCTTTAAAAGAATGAGATAAAGTGTGCAGTGTGCAGAGTAGCCCCAGATGGGATAGCATCTTGAAAACTGGCATTTGCTGAATACTCGTGCAGAATCCAGAAATATCTCATGGTCAGGATGAAAGGTCTAAATTTAATACCAAAAACAGAAAACTGGCTTGGCTTCCTTGGACTCCACACAGGAAAGCTCTTGTTTGGAAGTTCTGAAATGAGAAGGGGCTGGAGACGCTCTGTTCATGGCATCCTCGGAGTTTCGTGGGGCCTGGAAGGTCTATTGTTTTCCCAAGATCTCATTTGGCCCACGATGGAAGCCTACATAGAAGAAAGAGAATCTGATGATAGAAAATCAGGGAGAAAGTTCACATTGATGCAGATACTCCCCACAATAAGTATAGGTTCATTTCTTCTTCTTCTGGTTTTGCTTACCCAGCTTTTAAAATTTAACCACCTTCCCTCACCACCTGTATAAGACATCTGTGGTTCTTGTTCAAATAGCATCTCTACCTCTGGTAACAGAATGCAGCCCTTCCTTTTTGGGAGCCTCCCTTACCTAAGCTATTCTTATGTCCATCAGAGTCATAGCAGTTGATTCAAGAATGGTCTGATACACTTTAGACTAATGAAAGTCAGCCCCAGGAATTTGCTGGAACTATTGAAGAAAAGGTTGTACTTTTATTGAGGTTGCTAGGCTGGATGTAAGCCTCCTGCTACTAGCAGCCCATTCAGAGAGGCAGAGAGATGGTGGGAGAAAGAATGTCAAGAGACATCACTGAACTCCTAGACTAAGCCATTCCTGAAGTTGGTAATATCCTTGGTTTTCACAATTGCATGAAACAATTACCCCTCTCCTTATTTTTATCTTGTACTAAACTGAGTCTTGACAAATATACTTTACCAGGAGTGATTTTTTCTCTCCCTCTGAATAACCAGAGCAGAGGTTCTCAAATGTGGATGTTTCTTGCAGTATCTACAGGATTTAATAAGGGAGTAGGAAAGGGCAGCTTCCAGCTTCTCTCATCTCCTCCCACCTCACCCCACCTCCAGTGGAGGCCAGTGAACATTTAAAGGATACGTCCTCATAACATCATTTTCTTATCAGAGGGCTTTGGGTGAGAATCAGATTGGGAACTTTAATGCTTTGGTAGCAAGGGATGAGTAGGTTTCAACAACAGTCTGTTGTTACAATCAAAAACTGCTAAAGAATCCACATCTTGGGTTTTTTAGTCTACAACCATGAGCACCCAAGAGAACAAAATTAACAAGAATTGAAAGGAAAAGATAAACCCAAGAATGGATGGAGAGCCTCTGCCCCCCACTTATCCATAATGTACATACCCTGCTCACCTGACTTAGCCAATGGAAGTGATTTATCCATAAGAGAGTGGAGGTATGTACACGGATGTTCATAGCAGCATTGTTTATGAGAGCCAAAAGTGGAAGCAATTTACATCAACAGATAAGTGGATGAACAAAAAGCCATACAATGAAATATTATTCTGCCACAAAAAGAAATGAAGTATTTATTCATGCTACAACATGAATGAACCTTGGAAATATTAGTCTAAGTGAAAGAAGCCAAACACAAAAGGTCACATATTTTGTGATTCCATTTATAGGAAATGCCCAGAAAAGCCAAGTCCATAGAGAAGAAAAGCAGATTAGTGGTTGTCAGAGTCTGGGAAGTAAGATTTTTTTGTTTTTATTGCAAACTGGGAGATGATGGCTAACAGGAACAGGGTGTGTTTTGGGGGGTAATAAAAATGTTGTGGGATTAGATAGTGGTGGTGGCTGCACAACTTTATGAATATGCTAAAAGCAATTGAATTGTATACTTTAAAATGGGTGAATTGTATATATGTGAATTATATCTGAATACATCTATTAAACAAAAAAGAGAGAGTCAGGGTAGGAGTAGGAATCTTTCTGAAAGGCTGTCTCATATGACTGGACTTCCCTTCATCTATTAAAAATGTCGAATATAGTTCAGCCAAGAGGCATCTTTGAGATTTTACAAGGAAGACTCAACATAGCATCTAAGGGAAAAAAAAGTCTTCACGTGGGTGGCTTGACTTGGGATATCATCAGCAATGCCTTCACTGTTATGGCGAAACTGTTGCTGAGAAGGTCTTCTTGGACCCCTCACTGAATCTTTTTACCTTGAATGAATCAGGGGTAGTAGCAGGTCTTCCTGGGGCCTGTGTCTAGGCCATATAGATGGGCAGGGACCGAATATGTGCAGGCCTCTCCACGTCTCTCTTTTTTTGGTTCAATTTGGAATATGTTCTTCTCAGTATCTCAGGCTGAGTGGCTTCAAGTTCTTTCCTGTGTACCTGAGCAAAGGCATTAAGCTTAAGATCCATTTGAGTTTGAGAGCAAAGAGTGATTCCATTGCTTACCTGAATTTACAGAGGATTGTATTCTCATAACTGGGAAGTCGTGTTTCAGTAATAGCAGCGACAGGCAGAGGAGAAATTAAAAACTACTGGAGAAGCCACTCTTGCCTTTACTCTGTAGAAGGAGCAAATCTAACCACCTCATTTTTTAAAAAGAAGGGGGAAAAAGGGTAAAATGTTTTTAGCTTTTCCAATGTCAGGCATTGTTCTAATCACTTTACCTGTATCAAATTCAATCTTCACCTTTGAGGAAGATATTATTATAGCCACAGTTGATAGATGAGGAAAGCCCAGAGAGATGAGGCCACACAGAGTTGCGGCCGAAACCCCAACACAGATCCAGGATTCAAATTCAGCCAGCCAGGAGAATCTCCTAATGCTCGCAACAGGATTAATTAATTAGATAGTCCCATTGTGTGACTCTTTTATTGTTTCTCTCAGAATTATTTAAGTTGTTTAACTTCTAAAGGTTTTAAGTGTTGCCTCTTCCTGGTGGCATCTATGAGCTGGGACCACTCTTCGTTTCTCTCCAAGTGCTTTCACTTGGTCTTTCAATAGTCAGAAGGCTGCCAGCAATGGACCCATCTTGGAGTGTTGTGCTCCTTCTGCTGGATAAACTCTCTCTGTTCTAGTGTGACTAATTTTTACTGATCCTTAAACATCACTTAGTTCAATGGAGCCTCTCCTGATAGTATAGTCCTTGCAGCCCCAAATAAACTTGGGACCCTTCATCTGGGCTTCCCCATCATTGAGTCCTTTTGTCACAGCATTCATCATAGTTGTACAGGTATTGCTGTTTCAGTTGTCCCTCCTCCTACACTAGAATGTTAGCTCCATGACGAAAGGGACCAGGTAATTCCCAACCCTTCACCCCCAGCAGCCAGCACCGAGGGGACATACAGGAGATGCCTACTATGGAATTTGTTTTGTTTGTAAATCTGATGCTAAATCTGTAGTTGGTTTCTTTTAAATTGTTTTTAAGCAAACAACTAAGTTTTCAGGGTGTGAGAAATTTATTTTTTCTTCTCTCGTTTTCTTCATGGACATCAGGAAGTTCAGTGATCCCCTGTCTGGGGGTGGGGGTGGGGGGGGCAGGTCCAAAATACTATTCATCAACTAAGGTCTCCCCCAAGCCTGTTAGAGCAGTGGGGTCTCTGTTCCAGTAGACTTCCATGCCTCATCTGTGATCTTCCTTCAGCCTACTTCATAGGATATGAACGCCATGAAGACTGGAAGAGAACATTCATTTATGCAGGTGCCTAAAAACAGGCTCTTAGAAGCCAAAAGGAGCCTTAGGCTATGTACTTTACTTTTTTTTTTTTTCAGGCTCTCAGCATATTAAAAAAAATACTTGATTAAAAAAATTTTAATTCCCAGTACAGGCTACATGGCCCAAATAATGTGACAAAGAAGCTGAAATCTCTATTCTTTCAATTCGGCCAGGGACTGTACAGTTGTTCCTATGTCTAACCTAATTTGGAGATACTTATGTCAAAAACCTGAATTCGAAGCTCAAGCCAAAGGCTTCTTCAGCTCAAATCGCCCTGGTCTTGCCTCAAACAAAGAAGTCATCTCTGATGTCGGGTGAATGAACTGAATATTTTGGAAACTGCAAACTGCAGAACGTTCGGGAAAGTTTACCGCCGGGGTAACAACCCCAAATTCTCTAGGCTGCCCACAGTGGCTCCGGACCCGGAACCCCATTTGGCACGTGGGCCCAGCACCCACCCATCCACCCTTCCCCCTCCCGCGCCGGGGCCGCAGCGCCCGCGCCTGGGTCCCCCGGAAACGCGGCGCCCCACCGGAAGTGACGTGTCCCACTGTCTAGCAACCGTTGCCAAGGAGCTCGTCTCTAGGAACCCGCTAGAGCCCGGGGACGTCCTGGGGGTGGGGGACAGTGGTTTCCTGAAGAAAATTTGAGGTAACCTCGCCGACCCGTGGTCGGAAACTTCCCCGAACCCCGAGATAGGAGAAAAGTGCCTCCCATCCCCTTCCCAGTGCGGCAAGCGGAGGGGTCGCAGCGGTGACCGGGTCCGAGGCCGTTCCCCGGCGGAATGAGTCGTCGGGAAGCCCCGAGGTGCCCGGGTGTGACGTGGGGTCCGATCCCCTTTCCCGAGCCCTGGGGTCGGGGGGACACTATTGCGGACTCCTGCGAGTTGCTGTCCAGAGCGCGTGGTTTCTGTCCCGCTCTGTGCCAGATAAGCGCTCGTCCTGGTTTTAATTCTTGCCCGCCCCCCCCCCCTCGGGTTTTTATGTTCTTTTGAGGGTAGGCGCTCGTGAATTAGTGTGGCATCTTTCCTCTGGAAGAGGCAGAGTAATTGCTTTTGCTAATTTTAGAGCGCCGAGCCCACGGGGCATAGACAGCCTACCTGCGCAGCACGTCTCTGTCCTCAGCGCGTGACCCTCAGAAAGCTGGTGGGCCAGCGGGGAGCCCAACTCGTTTCTTTTCTTCTGGTAACGTCTTACAAGGGTTTTGTATTTTTGAAAGGGGGGATATATATATATATATATATATATATATATATATATAGTATGCTATAAATAATATATATAATTTCTAAATTATTGAAAAGTAAGTATATACAGGTGTTCCCCCCTTTTTTTAGTTCATTTTTAAAAATTCATTTTTAAAAATTGCTAGTTAAAATAATTACCTGCCTGCAAAATTCTACTACTTCCCATAGTGATGTCTGCATGCAGGGGACACAAGAAACCTTGGTAATGCTGTTTCAGCACTTAAATAATCAGATATTCAGTTTTTACTCATTCAGTCTAGTGGAAGTAGTCGCTGTTTTAGATGCAGAGGGTGTTCAAGGATGGAATGACAGATATGTCCTCATGGAATTTACATTTTAGCAGAGAAGAGAAAATGTATTACATGAGTAACTACATGTGGTCAACGTGGAAGGCAGGCCCTGTGATTCCGATGCAGAACCTGGTGTGTAGCATAAGAACGATTTCCTGGAGGAACTTACCTTGAAGGGTAGGGTTAGGAAACCGTTAGGATTTGCACCTCTGGAGAGGGGGGAAAGGGAGAACAGTCCTTCTAGGTGGAGAAAACAGCATTAACTGAAGGCAGAGGTGGATCAACTAGGAAGCAGTGACCATTTCCATCTGCTGAGGTTTGAAGGGTGAAAAGTAACAATTTGGCAATTCAGTTGGGGAAAGCTCATTTGAACTAGATTATAAAGTGTCTCAAAAGCCAAGAAGTTTGGACTTCTTCTTGTGGGCAATGAGAAGCCTACAGGAGATTTGGAATGGGAGGCGGAGACTGGTACCTTATTGGAGGCGAAGGAAATGAGGTCCTGAAATACTCAAGGGTGGCAGAGTCAAAGCCTATAGGGCCAAACATAACATTAGTGGGTGAAGATCGCTTGGTGGAGGAAACCAAAACAAATCCAAGAAAGCATACCCAGGCTAACCAAAACAAATCCAAGAAAGCATACCCAGGCTAAAGCTTGCAAAATATGGGCCCAGAGTTACCTGATCTGATTTTCAAGAGAGACTGGAAAGCTGGATATTAATACAACAATATCTCCTAATTTTTAAACCTGGGCTGCTAATTTTTTAATATATTTTTATTGATTTCAGAGAGGAAGGGAGAGAGATAGAGAGAAACATACATCAATGATCAATGATGAGAGAGAATCATTGATTGGCTCCTTCCTGCATGCCCCACACTGGGGATTAAGCCCACAACCCAGGCATATGCCTTGACCGGGAATCTAACCGTGACCTCCTGGTTCATAAGTCTATGCTGAACGACTGAGCCATGCCAGCTGGGCTAAGTTTTAAAAATTAGAAATATGTCTGCAGTCTATAACAAGTCTTTACCCCTGGGTAGATGTTGTGGAGCAGAACGGAAGAGATGTTAATGTAGGTGGGATTTATTCATTTGTCCCTGTTAATGCAGATGACTGCTGTCACACAAGATGCATATGCAAAAACACTTGGCTTTACAAATTAACAGTATGTATTGAAGCATTCATAATGAAGTTGTCCCACTCTGATTTATTTCAATAAAATAACTTTTCCATGTAGAATTATACTTTCTATGCCTGCTTCCTATGATCTTAATACTGGTTTCCCCCCAGAACTTTTGTTATCAGTATTGAGGAATTTTTTTCTCTATTTTTACTCTTTAGTTTAAATTATAAGACCTTGATTATGAGTGATCAAATCAAATTCATTGTGGACAATCTCAATAAGGAGCCTTTTAAGAAGAGCTATAATTTAATCACATTTGATTCCCTGGAGCCAATGCAACTATTACAAGTTCTCAATGATGTCCTGGCTGAGATTGACCCAAAGGTAAGAGCTTTGTCTTTCTCTGTGATGAAAAGGGTGGCAGGAAAGCCAGTTTCTGCCTCTCAGTATCTGTCTTGGGCAAATTATTTGCATTCTCTGGACTTTATTTTCATGAGGCCTTATTTTACAGGCCTTATGTTTGTAAAGTAATAGGAAATGATCTTAAAGTTTTTTCTTTTAGCTCAAAAATTATCAACTTGTACCTTATTTAGAAAATATTTCCCCACTTCCAAATTTAAATGGATTTAGTCCAGGAATAAAAATGCTTTTACAAAAGGTTTTATTGTATTGCAAGTTAGCTCATGTCTCTGCACTGGAGAGTTTTTACACTTGACATTCTTAATAGAATCCTGATCTGACTTGTATACACCCTCACTTGGAATCTGGGGACCTCCATACTTTATCCATTTTATTAAGAGAACATTGTGCCTGTTATGCTCTAGTAGATTGTAAGTGAGTTTAAATGTTGTTCTTTGTTAGATTTACAACAATAACATTTTTTTAATTTCTTTAATTGTTAGCAAGTTGTTGATATCAGAGAGGAGATGCCAGAGCAAACAGCCAAACGGATGTTAAGCCTCCTTGGTATCCTTAAATACAAACCTCCAGGAAATGCCACAGACATGTAAGAATCTGATTGCATGTTGCCTTCTTTTTTTTCGTTTGTTTGTTTAATTTGGAGAAGTTTTATTTATTTTTAAAAATTTATTTAATAGTATAATGTGTTGCTTTCCTTAAACTATGCTTTAATAGCCAAACCTTCATAGGCTATCGTCAGTATTCCTAGGCACTACCTGGTTTCCCTAAGTCTATGGCCTCGGAACATCACTGAGTTTCAAAATAATCTTGAGCTTTTTAAAAAAATATATTTTTATTGATTTCGGAAAGGAAGGGAGAGGAAGAGAGAGATAGAAACATCAATGATGAGAAGGAATCATTGATTGGCTGCCTCCTGCACGCCCCCCACAATCCAGGCATGTGCCCTTGACCACAACTGAACCCAGGACCCTCAAGTCTACAGGCTGACACTCTATACACTGAGCCAAACCAGCTAGCGCAATAATCTTGAACTTTTAATGTTATTTTGTCATGCAGAAGTTGTAAGTGGGTCAGTTCTTTCTCCTAATCAAAAAAGTCAGGCAAATGCACTATTCCATTTTATCATCTAGCTGCCATCCTAGATGAAAATCGTAACTTAAGCTGCCTAGTCAACGAAGTGAAGTATTAAGGCTGACTGTACTAGGTAATGGTTCCAACACAACCTTTCCACGTATTCCAGTGATATATTAAAGGCCTACTTTTACTTTTATTGTTAATGTGCACACTGACTATAGAATAGCATTGCTTTTATCCTTTTTAAATTGTCATGGAAAGCAATCTGGACACTGTAAATCAGATTTTGAGTAAATGTTATCTCTTTTCAAGGTTCACTTATAAGCCCACATGTGTGTGCACGCATTTTTGTTTTTTGTTTGTTTGTTTTTTATAGGAGTACCTTTCGTCAGGGTCTGGTGATTGGAAGTAAACCTGTAATTTACCCTGTGCTCCACTGGCTTCTTCAGAGGACTAATGAGCTGAAGAAAAGAGCATATTTAGCTCGTTTCTTAATAAAACTGGAGGTACCAAGTGAGTTTCTTCAGGATGAAACTGTGGCTGATACCAATAAACAGGTATTCAATACATAATAGTATTTTAAAACTGTCTGTAATGGATTTCAAGAACATGTTCAAATACATGTTAATCTCTCTCTAGTTTATTTGCTGTCTCTGTATTTTCAGGTGGCACCAAAAGGGAAAACAGTTATCAGCTAACATTCAACTGCAACCATGTATTAAAATATTGACATTTGCACACAAATACCAATTCAGTGATAGGTGCATGTGGATAGAAAAAAACACACCCTGAAGTTAATGATTTTAGCATAATTTATTACTTAAGCATTGTGGGTAGGTTGGATCCTGGGCTTGGGACTGCAGGGCACTTTGCTCATCAGTAAGGTGACAATATAATTTGTCATCCAAATCAGAGAGCAAGGGACTATCAAATAATTATACCAGGACCGAGGTATAAATTGACACTCTCCCAGGAAAACTGGGATATGTGAGCCCCAGCAAAGACTGTATAGGCAAAGAAGCTAGGCTTGCAACCTCAGAGGACTTTTTAGTCAGGCTGAAAGTAAACAGAGGGCCAGGAATTTGGAATTTCAGTGCATTTTCCTCACCAGAGTTTTGAGGTAATACTGGGTTTTGGCCTTAAGATATTAAGGGAGGGAGACAGATGAGTAACTAGACAACTGTAATTTCATATGGTATCTACTCTGATGTCATGGCATTCTGATACAGGGCTGTAGAAGTCTTCTGTGTGGGCAATGGTATCTGTGCTGAGACCTGATGGAGGAATAGGATTTATCCAGGTTAGGGATGAGGGGACTCATACAATATTCTCAAAGGGAACAGGGTTTGTGAACTGGAAATGAGAGCATGGGATGTTCCAGAGGCTGAAAGAAAATCAGCATAGTGAGAATATAGAGTGTGAGGTAGGAAAGTAACCAGAGAGGAAGCAGGAGAAGGATTTACTGACCAGATTTTACAGACCCGCTTTTTTATGTCCTATATAAATGTTTAAAGATGTATTTTTCAAACGCTGTGTTCATAATTATTTAAGTCAGTGACTTTCAACCAGTGTACCACAAGAATTTTTATAACTTGCAATACCTGACTATTTAGTCAAGGGCACTGACCTCTTTTCCCTTGGACTGTCAAATAAAAAAATGACAATAGCCAACACAGTAATAGCTACCCAGTGTGAAGGAATCAAAATTATACCTATTTTTTGTCAGATCAGCAAAAAATATGTCTTTTGGTGTGTTGTAGAATTTTAGTCATTAGTTTATGTGTGCTTTGAGATGAAAAAGGTTGAAAATCACTGATTTAAGTAATCACTATAAGTTTATAGATAACCTGATTAAGAAAAGCCTACTGGGTCTAGTCATTAGTTTATCATTTTTTAACTTGTTCTTTTAGTATGAAGAGTTGATGGAAGCCTTTAAAACTTTGCATAAAGAATGTGAGCAGCTTAAGACATCTGGATTTTCCACAGCAGAAATAAGAAGGGTAAAGAAAAGAAAATCTATTTTTTATTTGAATAATGTTAGGTTTAGTATTTTTGTTTTTAGTTAATTAAGTATGAGTCTTAAAACTATATCGAAACTGGTGATAGCAAAAGGCAGATTTTCTTTTGTAAGGCCTTGCTAGTTCTTTGCTGAATAAATTAATGAGGCCAGGGTAAATGATTTTAAAAGGTTACATTTTGAGTCTCTATCTAATATACATATATATGTATATATCTATACCTACTGATATAGATATCTGATATAGAAAATAACAAAAAATAAAAATTTTCTAATTGTTTGTATATCCTTTCAGGCTGTGTGTGTCTGTGTGTGTGTGTGATCACACGATCCATAATTATTTGTATCTTGCTTTTTTAAAAAAAAATGTGTATTTTATTTATTTTTTATTGATTTCAGAGAGCAAGGTAGAGGGATGAGAGAGAGAAACATCAATGATGAGAGAGAATCATTGATCGGCTGCCTCCTGCACACTCCCTACTGGGGATCGAGCCCGCAACCCTGGATGTGCCCTGACTGAACTGAACCCAAAACCCTTCAGTCCACAGGCTCTATCCACTGAGCCAAACCAGCTAGGGTGGTATCTTGCTTTTTATAATTTTATTTTATTTTTTAAGTATATTTTTATTGATTTCAGAGAGGAAGGGAGAGGGAGAAAGAGAGAGAGAGAAACATCAATGATGAAAGAGACACATCGATTGGTTGCCTCCAGTACTGGCCCTTGAGCAGAATCAAACCCAGGACCCTTCAGTCCGCAGGCCAACGCTCTATCCACTGAGCCAAATTAGCTAGGTGTATTTTGCTTTTTAAATCATTATATCATTAGTATATTCCCATTGTTATCTTTCTACAATATGATTTTAATGATTAAATAATATCCTATAGTATAGATAATTTAAGCATTTTTGCATATCTATGATTGTTTCCCTAGGATAAATTTCTGTTTTAGTTGCTTTTCTAGATGAACACCGAGCTGCCAAATAAATTATTGGGGATGGGGGGAATAGAAATGTCCTTCATCCCAAGGAGGTTCTTTGTTCCTAATGCTCTGGTTATTATAATAGATACATAATCATATAAAACCCTTAGCTGAATTCTACAAAGAATACTTTTTCTGATAATGTCTTCTTGACTGCTTTTTAGGATATCAGTGCAATGGAGGAAGAAAAGGATCAGCTCATTAAGAGAGTTGAACGTTTGAAGAAAAGGGTAAGGCAAGAATTAGCACTGTAAGACTTTGGCCCCAAGTGTTAAGCACTTGCAAAGACTTAGGAATGCAAATAAAGATTAAGCAGGGCATGGATTCAATCTGAGGAGGGACTCAAATAACCCTGACTGAAAGGGAATCTCCCTAGGCACTAGCCCAAAACCTTCAAGGACCTGGAATCTAGAGCTTGACTGTCATCTCCAGGGAGTACTGTTTACCAAAAGGAAATGATAAGTGGGTGTCGGAGTCACGTGACATGCCTTAACCTGACAGTAACATGAACTACTTATTCCCTTAATGTAGGTGGAGACAGTTCAGAATCATCAACGGATGCTTAAAATAGCAAGACAACTTCGAGTTGAAAAAGAGAGGGAAGAATTTCTTGCACAACAGAAACAGGAACAAAAGAATCAGGTATCCATATGAAGATTTATATTCTCATGATGAAAGAAATAGTTCTTTATGACAATTCAAATGTAAAGAAAGAAGAATTTTAGAAGTTCATGTTTCCCTTTGTGAGCATGATAAAATATTCTTCTGAGAGTATTTTGTGGTGCCAACAGAATCAAGGACCTTTGGGACTCTATACTCAGTATATATCTGTACACTCCCTTTTGGCCTATGCTGAGCTCATGTTGTTACAACACTGCCAAATATTCATTGTTTCATGAATGAAACTGTTGATGAAACTTGTAGAATCTCTCAAGGGGTGTTGAGATTCTGGGGCTATGATAACATCCTTTCTATTGCACTGATCACAGTATCCTCTACATTTTACTCCAGCGGTAAATAAGCAAATCATGAAAAGGCTCCAAAACACCCACCATCCACATTTTTGGACTTTGCCTTAACGAAAAAATAATTTGGCCAGGAAAATATCACTTTTATTTTGTTAAAAGTCGTTCTTAAAACTGAGTAGACTTATACATTAAAAGTACAGTTCAGATCAGCTCCATTTCCTTCTAGGTGGGCAGTTGAGGGGTTTGGCTTTCTCAGAACTTGTTTGGCATCACAGTCGTTCTACTGCAGCAGCAACTACACTGCCTGGCCCTGAGGTTACTTGGCATCAAATTTTGATTCTGAGACATCATATGTGAGAATGCTTGCAGTCCTTAAAGTTAAGAAAAGCATGTTATAACAAGAAAAGCCTGGTAACTGTATTCTTTAGCAAGCATTTTTCTTTGACCACCAAATTCAGCAAATACTTTTTTTTTTTAAATTTCAGAAAGCTCTTTTTTTTTTAAGTTTTACATGAAAGGGTATTGAGGGAACCATTTATATTTGGGATTTAACATAGCAATTTTCTTGGTTCTTATTATTTGTTCCTTTATATCACAGGAATTATTGTGGAACTTGTATTTTTCATTGTTTGTATGAGTGGTAGGTTTCAATAGACTAAGCAAGTAATAGATCTAATTCTATTTTAAAGCTATTTCATGCAGTGCAGAGACTGCAAAGAGTACAAAACCAGCTGAAAAGTATGCGCCATGCGGCAGCAGATGCAAAGCCTGAAAGTAAGTGGAAATTATTAGATGACATAGTCGATCAGAGAATATTAGTTTAACACTTGGAGTGCGGGAAACGAGTTAAGTCGGCTCGCGTGAATTGCGCGTACTCCGCGGGAGCCGTCTTTAACTCGGTTCATATAGATTTGCGGTGGAGTTCGGGAAACGTGTAAACTCGGGCCGATTGTAACTGCGTATTACCAAATATTTGTTTGTAATCCACCCTTTTGGTGGATGGAACAAAACCAAAAGACAGAGCCATCTTATATTTTGGCGGGAAATTCACCCGCACTCCAAGTGATCAGTAGTCTCCCTACCGATTACCAATTAACTAATGAGAACTATCATCAAGTGATATCTCAGTATTCAGAGTGTCATTTCCTATCTAATGAAGGGGAGTCCTGATATAGGCATCTTTAAGTCTTCACCTGGGGTTTAATTCCTGTTCAGTCAGTGTTTTGTCAGAGGGTAAAGGTAATGAAAACCATTGTGGAGGGAGGCTCTCTAATCTGTGAGAATATGAAGTACTTAGGATGGATGTTATGAAAAAGATGGATGGAAGAAGTGTGAATCATTGCTCTAAAGCCAGGGCTATAAAGACAAAGAATAACACTGAGTGTTTTCCCTATTTGGGCAATTATGCTAATGTCATGGGTCTCTAATTTTAGATTAGATGAGCCCCTTGCTGGCTGGACTCATCTTAATTTTTGATGGTAAAGATGTGAAGGAATCTACATCAAATCCAAAGAACATATACTGCCTGGCCAGCGTGGCTCAGTGGTTGAGTGTTGACTTATGAACCAGCAGGTCCCGGTTCAATTCCTAGTCAGGGCATATGCCCAGGTTGTGGCTCGATCCCCAGTGTGGGGCAGACAGGAGGCAACCGATCAATGATTCTTTCTCATCATTGATGTTTCTCTCTCTCCCTCTCCCTTCCTCTCTGAAATCAATAAAAATATCTTTAAAAAATAATAATATCAATAAGCAATTTGTATAGGCCTACTCTTGTTAAGAAATTATTAGAGCTTATCATTAATAGTGAATTTTTGAAAATGAAGGCAATGTATATAAGAATTGAAAGATTTGGTATGCAGAAAAATAATTGGCTGATCAGTACAGTTTAATACAATTTCAGATGTTAGCCTAAACATGTGTTTCTGTAATATCTGTTATCCTTAATTTTATTAGGTTAAATATTTCTTGCTGTTATGTTTTAATTCTGGCAACTAAACAGAATATCCAAAGATATTTACAGTATTAGTAATATTTCATTTTTTAAATTTGAGTTGATAGTTTTTATTTTGCTTTGGCTTTCTAGTCTAAATAGAAATCATTTGGGCCAGGAAATACATAATTGTTTATTTAATAACTAGAGGCCTGGTGCACGAAATTCGTGCACTGGGGGAGGGGGGTTCCCTCAGCCTGACCTGCACCCTTTCGCAGTCAGAGAGCCCTCGGGGGATGTCTGACTGCCGGCTTATGCCCGCTCCCCTTGTGGCTTCTGGCTGAGCGGTGCTCCCCCTGTGGGAGTGCACTGACCACCAGGGGGCAGCTCCTGGGTTGAGCGTCTGCCCCCTAGTGGTCAGTGCGCATCATAGCGACCAGTCATTCTGCCATTTGGTCAATTTGCATATTAGCCTTTTATTATATAGGATAAAATGGACACAGTTCTGTTTAGGGCATCTCTTGTGGTGTGGGTTTAAAATATTGATGTAATATGTTAGTACATGCTGCTAAATTGTTAAGTAGTAGTAAAAATAATAGGCTCAAACCAACAGTCCATTAATTCAGTATTTCTTGATCATCTACTGAATGTCAGGTACTGTGCTAAATGTTAGGAATAGAAAGCAGAAATCCTATATAATAAAAGCCTAATATGCTAAGTGTCTGGTCGTCGGTTGTTCGTTCAACCAACCAAAGCGTAATATGCTAATGGTATGCTAAGGCCGCTCAACCACTTGCTAAGATGTGCACCAGGAGGCAGACAGTCGACTGGTCGATCAGTCACTATGATGTGCACTGACCACCAGGGGGCAGATGCTCTGACTGGTAGGTTAGCTTGCTGCTGGGGTCCGGCCGATTGGGACTGAGCGAGATGGGCTGGACATGCACTGGAGCCCTCCTGCAGTCCCTCCACAGCTGGCCAACCTCCCGCGACCCTGACCGTGCACCTCTGGGTTCCCTCAGCCTGGCCTGCACCCTCTCATAATCCAGGACCCCTCGGGGGATGTCGGAGAGCCGGTTTTAGCCCGATCCCGCAGGACAGGCCGAGGGACCCCACTGGTGCACAAATTTGTTCACCGGGCCTCTAGTATTTCTATAAAGTGCTCACAGTGTAATGGAGGAATGACCAGCAGTGTGCCATACGATGAATTTGCTGATGAAGCTCAGCATAGGGTTCGATGAGAACAAACAAAGAGGCAGAGCAACACACACTAACACAGAGACAAATGGCTTCCTGGACGTGGCCACTGAGTTAAGTTAAAGCTGGAAAGGTGAAGGAGTGGAAGACATTCCATTCCAAGGTGCAGTGACATAAAGAGAGTGGGCTGAGCAAATAATGATGGATGAAGATAGATGAAGGGTAAGCCTCTCCTGACTGCTTGTGTTCAAAAAGAGGACAGGAGGGGGAGTGTGCGAATGAATGAGATAGCGCTGTGCCTAGATTGCAGGAGGGTAGTAATAAAGTGGTGTTTACGTGCTGAAGGAAAGAGTCAGACAAATTGAAGATTTAGGAGGAAATGGTGAAAATTGGTAACAGCCTTCCCTGCGTGTCCCAATTGTACCCCCATACCCTGCATTGCATTGGATCTTCTATAACAATACCACAGTGTGTTAATGGTTGGCATATCTAATTCTGACTCAGCTAAACTCCAGGCGAGTCACCAAGTCATAATTGGTCTTTCTATTTCCAGGCCCTTGCACACTAGATTACACATACAAGTACTCAGTAAAGTCTGTTAAGGAGTTGGGAGGTGAGAGTAAAGACCTTGACTTTGGATAGGAAAACAGTGATCTTTTCCACACAGAGGAGGGGAATCAAATAAGAAAAAAATGGTTGAAATTTAAAAATAAGGTATTACATATGTAATATATGTTTTTTTTGTGGGTGGGCAGGGAGTAGGGAATAGGAAATTAAAGAGTTCTTGCTCTGCTGACATCTTTTTGGGAAACAGTTTAAGGGTTGTATTTAGCAGTTTAGGAAAAGAGTAGATTAAGCAGATGTTAATTACTAGTAATCCAGGTGTTTAGTTGAATAAGGCCCATCTAAATTCTTCACTAACAAAAAAGATTTATAAAAAGTTTCTATTCACTTAAATAACATACACATTATTTTTAAATATGTTTTCATTTCAGAGAGGATGGGAAAGGGAGAAAGAAATAGAAGCATCAATGATCTGAGAGAATCATTGATTGGCTGCCTCCTGCAAGCCCCAGACTGGGGATTGAGCCTGCAACCGGGGCATGTGCCCTGACTGGGAATCCAGCCGTAATCTCCTGGTTCATAGGTCGATGCTCAACCACTAAGCCACGTTGGCTGTGCCAAGCGAATTATTTTTAGTGTAACAATGTAATTTGTATTTTTTCAGAGTAACAACCGTACTATAAAACATTCAAATATATTTTTATACTCTACACATTTGTGAGATTTATTACATAAAAAAAAACCTACTCATTCAATGATAGTAGGATCAGTAAGATGTTTTCAGAGGGTTTTTAATAAAAAAGTTTACTGAGATCTTAGAGGCCAGGATTTCAAAAGATAATTTCTAAAAAACTGCATAGGAACATATGACTACTTTTCAAAGTCTACATTAAAATTTTTAAGAGAAGAACTTAAAATGTGATAGAAATTCTGTTTTTTATGTTTTTTTAAGCAGCTTTATTGAGTAAAATGGACAAATAATAAACTGTACCTATTTAAAGTGTACAATCCATACTTTTTGAAACCATCACAATTACAAGCATATCCATCGTCCCAAACATTTCCTTGTGCCTCTTCGTAATGTCTCCCTCCTCCCTCCTCTGCCTCTCTACCTGTCCCCAGGCAACCATTGATCTGCTTGCCGTCATTAACATATAAGTTTGTGTTTTCTAGAATTAGAAACTTTTTTAAAATAAGGTATATAAAAATTAAGAATTTTAATCTTTTAAAACATTTCAGACTTTGATTCCTTACATCTCTGGTTACATATGGTATATTTAAGAACTTGGGAGAAACTAGTCATCTGAAGATGGAGAAACTAGTCATCTAATAGTCAGAGAAGCCAGGAAGTAGATTTAATCTGAAACCACATTATTATCGTGTGATTCATTAAACACTTTCTCTTTCCTCTCTTTCCCCAGCCCCTAAAAAGGGGGGGGGGGGAAATTGTAGGGATGAATGGAAAACTCGTGAATTTGTCTTTAATAAATTTTTACATGTTAATATATGGTTAGCACAACAGAACTAAAAATACTTTTAAGGTTTTAAGCCAGGTTTATTATGTAATCTACGTACGTAGATTACTTAAACCGGAAATCCAATGTTTTAAAAACTTAAGCCAGAATTTGTAAACGTGTAATGGAAAGATCTGAAATAAACTTTTAAAAGCTCTCTAGGCTGGGAATTTATAACAAAACCATTATTCACTGAAAATCTGTGTGTGTATGTTTGGGCACTCTGTCAAAATAAGAAAACTATTAAATCTTAAAAATATAACTTGCCATTTAACTATAAACTTTACAAAATCAAAACTCCCAAACATGGAAAACTGAAAAAATGTATGAATGTAGATAATTTCTTTTTCGGATTTGAATGTGTGCTTTGAAGCTGACAAATTATAATATATTACCACTTATGAGGTAATAGAATAAAACTATAAATTGCCTCAGAAGTGTTGCAAAAGAAAAAGAGTAAATGACAACATACAGAAGAAAGAAGCTGGATTTCATTTGTGTTGTCATTTGGTTCTTGGATTTCTTACTTAAATGCAAAATGTGACCCAACAAAATATCTGGCTCTTTCTTTCCTTTCTTTCCTTTTTTCTTTCCTTTTCCTTTTCCTTTTCCTTTTCAATCACAATTTACATTCAGTACCATTCCGCACCAGTTTCAGATTACAGCAAAGTGGCCAGAAAACTAACCACTCTACAGAGTGGTCCCCCTGCTGCCCAAACACCCACTTTGGCCTCATACACAGTTATCTCAACATTATTGACTATATTTCCCACGCTATATCTGGCTTGTTTTGCAAATATTATTTTTGCATTAATTTAAGGAGTATAAAATAATTAGGTGGTAATTTGTTTTTTAATTGATTTTTAAAGAGAGAGGAAAGGAGAGAGAGAAACATTGATCTGTTGTTCCACTTCTTTTTTGCCCCATTGACTTCTCCCTAGCCATCCCCACCCCCCAGCACATGCCCTCACTCCCTTTAGTGTCTGTGTCCATTGGTTATGCTTATATGCATGCATACAAGTCCTTTGGTTGATCTCTTACCCCCCCCCTCCACCCCTCTCCCCTGCCTTCCCTCTGAAGTTTGACGGTCTATTCGATGCTTGTTTGTCTCTGGATCTATTTTTGTTCATCAGTTTATGTTCTGGTAGATTCTCGTATGTGCACTGACTAGAGATTGAACCCGTAAGCTTGGCATATTGGGATAATGCTCTAACCAACTGAGCTACTAGCCAGGGCTTAGGTGGTAATTTGGAAAGATGATAATATTACTTTTTCTGTAATTATTTAAACATTTCTTCCTTGTAAATTGTTTTTTTATTATTCTAACTAGAGGCCCGATGCACGAAGATTCGTGCAAGAATGGGCCTTCCTTCCCCTGGCTGCCAGACTGCCTTTGCTCTGGCCGTAGCCGCCTTTCCATCTTCCCATGCTGCCCAGAGGCCTGGAACGGCTGGGGCAGTATGGAATGCCTGCGTCGTCACCATGGCGACAAGGCAAGCATCCCACCTGCCCCCGGCCACTCAATGCTTGTGTATGCAAATTAACCCACCATCTTTGTTGGGTTAATTTGCATACTCCTGACTGGCTGGTGGGCATCGCAAAGATACAGTCAATTTGCATCTTTCTCTTTTATTAGTGTAGATTAGCAAAAGACTTCAATGGCCAATCTATTATGGTACTAGATTTTATACACAGATATAATATTATACAGGTAGATATACTAGGTATTTTCACAGATATGCCCTACTATACAGATCTTTTTAAAAAAATATATTTTTATTGATTTAAGAGAGGAAGAGAGAGATAGAAACATCAATAATGAGAGAGAATCATTGATTGGTTGCCTCTTGTATGCCTCCTATTGGGGATTGAGCCCACAACCCAGGCATGTGCCCTTGACTAGACTCAAACCTGGGACTCTTCAGTATGCAGGCCAATGCTCTATCCACTGAGCCAAACCAGCTAGGGCCAGGTCTTATAAAGTATAAAGAATGTCACTGTACCTATTCTCTTGGGCTGAACATTCATTTATTTTCTTTTCAAAGGTTTAATGAAGAGACTAGAGGAGGAGATAAAGTTTAATTCATATATGGTAACTGAAAAATTTCCTAAAGAATTAGAGAACAAGAAAAAAGAATTGCATTTTTTACAAAAAGTGGTGTCAGAGCCTGCTATGGGCCACTCTGATCTTCTTGAACTTGAATCTAAAGTAAGTGACAATTATCTTTTCATAGTTTCCAATTTTACCTCATCCTTAGTTCTATGAAAAGTATGAGAACTGCTTTCTATAGTGTCCAACTCTTGGCTCTTAAGTTAGCCTGCCCTAAGAGCTGATAGCTCTTAGGAGGAGTTGCTCTTTTTTTTTTTTTTTAATATATTTTATTGATTTTTTACAGAGAGGAAGGGAGAGGGATAGAGAGTTAGAAACATCGATGAGAGAGAAACATCGATCAGCTGCCTCCTGCACACCCCCTACTGGGGATGTGCCCGCAACCAAGGTACATGCCCTTGACCGGAATCGAACCTGGAACCATTCAGTCTGCAGGCCGACGCTCTATCCACTGAGCCAAACCGGTTAGGGCAGGAGTTGCTCTTTATGAGAAGTTACAGCATGTAATGCTGTTACTTATAATACATGATTTATTAAAATCTAGTCAATTGATTAGGAAACTAAGTAACTTGGATATATAAATTAATGCATATGATAGACTCATAGGTTTATGTATTCATAATATATAATTGGCTAATATAATGTATTCATAATAACAAGATGACAACTTTTAAATATCAGTAATTTTTGTTTCCAAGAATAATATTGTAGCAATTTTATATTTAAAGCTTAATATATTTATTAGCCTTTTATGCCAGCTTTGGAATTACTAAATTTTTTTGTAATTCTCATTGAAACCTGCTATCATATTATAACACTTTTGCTCCCTAGAAACAAAACACTAATCAGATGTGTATTTTTTTAAAAATACCAAATATCATGAAGATTGAACCGTTTTGATTTGCTGATCCTTTAATGTGCTCAACAGCCATTACAACTAAATACATAATTTTGATCATTGTATTCTTTTAATTTTCTTACAGAAATTAGATGGCCAAGTCAGATTTGGCTCAAATTTAATGTCATAGAATTAACAAGGGAACTCTAGTTTTTTTCAGAGGATAGACAGATATACTGAAAATCATGTAATTTTTAAAATTTGTTGAGGGACTATATGCTTCTGTGGGCTTAGTCAGTTTTATTACATTGGGAAAGGTTTGGATTAATGAGTGGAATAAATGACTGCTATGGGAGAACCACAGATCATTTGAACAGGAAAGTTTTTAGATGTCATCCATGTCAGCTCTCAGCTGGGTTCATGAATTCCTTATAAAATCCCTATGGAATGTTAGTCTGGATTTTATCACTTGCAGTGACTTGAAAGTCACAAGCTAGGAGAGGGGATAACTTCAGATTTTAAAAAATTCTTTTTTATAAGAATGTATAAATATTTCATGCTGAATACTTTAGGATAATTTAGACATGGTTGGTTAAATCCATGTAAGTAATAATACTGTGTAAATATTTATCATGAACCACGAAGTGTTCATTATTTCTAAAAGTAATCATAACAACCCACTCATAACATTAATGGGACCATCTAATCACTGATAAGAACTATAAATTCAAAGCTTGGCTGGGCCAATTGTCCCTTACTTTGTGTAATCATAGGGAGAGACTTAACCTTTTTTATTTTCATACTGTTTTAGATAAATGAAATAAATACACAGATCAATCAGCTGATTGAAAAGAAAATGTTGAGAAATGAGCCAATTGAAGGCAAACTCTCACTATATAGGCAACAGGTAAGCCCATTCTTTTGGCCCACTTAGCTCTGAGCATCTTCATAAACACCACAGGCTGTGTTATTTATAGTGTTAAAGTGAGAAGGAAGAAAGCAATCAATGTTCTTCTGTCATTGCTAATCTCCAGATTATAACAAGGAACTTACGGAAAAAGCTACAAAAGACGCGTGTTCAAGTTTGAAATGCAATACACCTGATAATGCTTAGTTTCCTCTGCGTCTGCCAACTGTGGTGATAGGGCTATTTGTGATTATATCTGTGAATGTGGAATTTGATTATTTAAATGAAAGGTTACCTTAAGTGATATAAATAAAAATAAAATATTTGTAATTTTTAATGAATTAAAGGCAATATATTGTTTCAAGATTAAAGTTAGTTTGCAAGAATAGAATGAATTAAATTTTAGTGCTAAGACAGTGGTTCTCAACCTTCTGGCCCTTTAAATACAGTTCCTCATGTTGTGACCCAACCATAAAATTATTTTCATTGCTACTTCATAACTGTAATGTTGCTACTGTTATGAATCGTAATGTAAATATCTGATATGCAGGATGGTCTTAGGCGACCCCTGTGAAAGGGTCGTTCGACCGCCAAAGGGGTCGCGACCCACAGGTTGAGAACCGCTGTTAAAGCATTTATCATTTTTTCCACAACTATTAGATCATGAGATTATATATGTTGTAATGTATTTCTAGACCAAAGAGTCAGATGAAAGCCATGGATTCTCTGAAAAGAACCCAGGCAGGAGTTTAGTGTGAAGAGCATTCTGTAACCTCAGGAAATACTGAGCTACGTAACAAAGCACTATTCAAGGATGTTAGAATTTTTAAAAACCGTTTTACAATAGAAAATTTCAACCATATACCAAGGTAGGGAAGGTAGTTCACCTTCCTGTTTCCCTAAGTTATAGCAATCATGGCCTTCTTGTGTCATTTCTACCGCCAGCCCAACTGAATTATTTTGAAGCAAACCTTAGATTTAATATCATTTCATCTATAAATATTTCAGAATGTATCACCAAAAAATAAGGTTTTAAAATTTTAATTCCAACAGCATATCACATAAACTACTGTTTTTAAAGTTCACCCGTGTTGTAGCATGTATCAATACCTCATTCCTTATTATTACTGGGTAACATTCCATTGTATGGATACTTTCACATTTTGTTTACTCATTCATCAGTTGATGGGCATTTGGGTTGTTTCTACTTTCTGGCTATTAGGAATTATGTAGCTATGGACATTTTAATACAAGTTTTTGTGTGGAAATATGTTTTTCTCTCCATTGACTATCTTTCTAGGAGTTGCGGGTTCATATGATAATTTATTTAACACTGAGGAAATGCCAAACTGCTTTCCTATGAGCTATACCATTTTACATTCCTACCAACAGTGTATGAAAGTTCTGATTTCTCTACATTCTTGCCAATACTTGTTATTATCTGTCTTTTTTTATTGTAGCCATCCTGGTGGATATGCTTACGTTGAAATTTTAGCTTGGTAAACTCTAAAACAGAGAATTTCACAATTTAACAGAATGTTGATTGGATATGTTTTATTTTACATTGGCATTTAATGCTCAATTAGGCATCCATAATTTCACGTAAAAAAGAAGCAAAAGCTGAGGAACTGCAGGAAACAAAGGAGAAGTTAGCCAGCCTAGAGCGGGAGGTGTCTGTGAAGACAAACCAGGCCCGGGAGTTTGATGGCACTGAAGTTCTGAAGGGAGATGAGGTAAGTTGAGGTCTCTCATGGGACAAGGATATGAGTATTGTTCTTGTTTGAAACCATGAATACTTTTGCCTTTTTTTTTTGAATGTCAATAATGGGAAGTTAGTATTATTTTATGAAACCTCTTTCTGTATAACTGAAAACTCTGTGTAGTAATATTAAGATATTCTTGATGTACAATGACAGATCTTAATGATTTTATGAGCTAATATTCTAAATTTCCACTCTTTAATTAAGTGGGTTTATACTGGGTTTATTTTATAAAAGTGAAATCAAATGAGTAGGAACAGATAAGAAAAAATTCATAATTGTTGATAAATGTAATTTCATAGAGGGCTGAGAACAATCACCACTAAGTTACTTTGTCAGTAATGTGTGTTTGACCAGTTGCACTGACACCTTTAAAATTACTTCATTGTGGATGTTTACAAAGTTTAAAAATACAGTTATATCTTGCATTGCTACATACATTTTAAATTTTGAACAGTGCTTTAACAGCTGTTATTTATCATTTTGTCAGGCTCATGAGATAAATAGTAGAACAAGTAATAATTGTCCTTTATAGGTGATTAAACTTAAGCACCAAAAATATAATTCCCCATCTCCTTTTTATAAAGTTAGCTCAAAAAAGAATGAAGGAAGGAAGGAAGGAAAATATCTTATCTTCAGCTCAGTGCTTTTTTTTTTTTTTTTTTTTTTTTTTTTTTTAGCAAATCAAGTGGTAGATCACATTTTAATCTTAAACATTGCTTGTACTTTACCACCTCTTACAGCTTTGTTATTTTACATTAGCTAAGAGGCCTCAGCAAAGGCTACTTTGAAAAGCTGCTCTGTCCAGACCTCATTTTGGCTTTGAAAAGTTGTTGAATTCATACTGTTACAAATTTGCAGTGAACCTTCACTGTGCCAAACACTTTTTTCTGTGGTGCTTCTTTCTGATTGTAACCTCCCAATATGCCTCTTAGCTTATTGGGGAAGTGGTAGGTTTTCAAAAGTCAGCACTTGATTGAAACATTCCTTTGGCTTTTAACATCTACTTCCAGATTGCTTTGAGACATGGGAGTATTTTAAATGATACTTGGAAGCCAACAGCATGTGCTTCGTGACATCCTTGCTAGCCAAGAAAAAAAAAAGATTAATTATGCAGCAATTCTGCTTTATAAGAGAACATGTTATCTCCTAGCATTTTTATCTTTTCTTAAGAAAATGCTGCCCAATTGACAGGAAATAGTAATTGATATGGCCACATTTGGCATGAGTGGTGCTTAAAATCCAGCATTAGCTATTCCCCGTATGCAAGTAGAGGCACAAGAACCTAGTGCCAAGCTATTAGCCTTTATTTATTTATTTTTAAGTTTTTAAAAATATATATATTTTATTGATTTCAGAGAGGAAAGGAGAGGGAGAGAGAAACATCAATGATGAGAGAGAATCATTGATTGGCTGCCTCCTGCACGCCCCCTACTGGGGACTGAGCCTAAAACCTGTGCATGTGCCCTGACTGGGAATGGAACCACAGCCTCCTGGTTCATAGGTTGATGCTCAACCACTGGGCCACACCAGTTAGCTATTAGCCTTTATTTTTGACTAAATATATTGTATAGGAGAAGTATCCAATGACAGGAAAAGCATTCTTTTTTTTTTAAGGGTAGTCAAGTTAATTTTTAAGGAAAGGCCAGAAACTAGGACAAATCAAGTAAACCAGTTACCTAACCTAAAGAACAGAGGGTATTGGGGAACATTCAGCATAATTTTATAAGTAACAAATCTTGGTAGACAAATTTTATTTTCTACTTTGATAAAGTGATAGGCCATATGAACAAAAGGGAGAAAGTTTGTTATACTTACAATTATATAATACTAGAGGCCCAGTGCATGAAATTCATGCACTTGGGGGGGGGGGTGGGAGGCGTCCCTCATCCCGGCCTGCACCCTCTCACAGTCTGGGAGCCTTGGGGGATGTCTGACTGATGGCTTAGGTCCACTTCCTGCAGGGAGAGGGCCTAAGCTGGCAGTTGGACATTCTTAGCGCTGCCACGGAGGCAGGAGAGGCTCCCGCCACCACCGCTGTGCTCAAGCAGTGAGCTCGGCTCCGGGCTTCTGGCTGAGCAGCACTCCCCCTGAAGGAGCACACCGACCACCAGGGGACAGCTCCTGCGTTGAGCATCTGCCCCCAGTGGTCAGTGCACGTTATAGTGACCAGTCATTCTGCCGTTCGGTCGATTTGCATATTAGTCTTTTATTATATAGGATAGATGGACTTTACTGGGGTTTCATTTGATACCACATGGTAACCACCAAAAAAAATTATGTTCTTTGCCACTCATCTGTATACACAGTAGGTGAGAGAGTATCAAGAAGTAGTAGTGTCCTGGATGGTATGCTAAGTGGTTAGAGCATCCGCCCTTGCACCAAAGATTCTCAGGTTTGATCACTGGTCTGGTTGTGGCACCAAGAGTGTATAAGAGTATATGTTTCCTCTCTTACTTAAAACTCTCCATCACATTTGATCCTCAATCTTTTAATTTTTGGCATTCTGACAATATTTTGCTTTAATTTTCATTTTTCTTGATTAGGAATTAGATTGAGTATCTAGCCACATACATATTTGGTCATTTAGATTTCTTCTGTCATTTTTCTGTTTATTTTATTTCTCCATTTTTTTTCTAATGGATTGTGTTTCCCTATCTATTTATCATATTTTTACCTATATTCTGGATCATAATCGGGATAATTGTTTTCTTCTAGTCTGTTAGCTGTCTCTTTCTATACAGAGTCTTTTGTCACACAGAGGGTTTCTTCTTCCTCCCCAAACAGCTTTATTGAGATATACTTAGCATACAATAAACTGCACATACTTAAAGTGCAAATTGTTGCTGTTATTTCAAGTTATGATAACTTCAAATATTGGAACATGATTTTAATATTAAGTGACTTCAGTTTTCCATAATCTGGAATGTTTTAAAAATCTTTACATAGAAATGTCTTACTTTATGCAGATGCAGTGTGAGAGGAGATATAAAGACAGTATGGTAGCGAGCATAATAGTTAATGGTCATGACTATGATTCTGAGTTGTCAATAAAGGTTGCTGTGATCAGTATGATTTTTTTAAGATAACAGAAAGCTTAAGTAACCTCTCTTCCAGGAAGCATAGCCTGTAATTATTTTCCCAGCTCACACCTCACAACCCTCATATGTATTCATGTGTGTGGTAACACAGAGAACAGTTAAGATCACTTGCTCAGTTTCTGCCTCCCCTAAGAAACCAGTCAGCTCCATGATGACTGGGGCATATCTTGTGCTCACTACCATTTACTTAATAGCTGCCTGTAATAGGCACTTGGTAAATGTATAGAAAACCCAGACAAAAATGTATAACTAATATAATCTAATATAGACATATTCTTTCATAGAAAGATGAAAATAATCCTAACCATAATTGTATATTTCATTGTATAGATAAAGTAATTTTTAAATTCCTGCCCATAGCCCTGGGCGATGGGGTTCAGTTGGTTGAGCATCATCCTCTGTGTGTGGAAAGGTTCCGGGTTCAATTCTGAGTCAGGGCACATACCTGGGTTGCAGGATCCATCCTCTATCAGGGATCAATGTTTCACTCTCACATCAATGTGTCTGTCTGTCTCTCTCTCTCTCTCTTCCTCTCTCTCTCAAATCAATAAAAAAGCATGTCCTGCCCTAGCCAGTTTGGCTCAGTGGATAGAGCGTCGGCCTATGAACTGAAGGGTCCCAGGTTCGATTCCGGTCAAGGGCATGCACCTTGGTTGCGAGCACATCCCCAGTAGGGGGTGTGCAGGAGGCAGCTGATGGATGTTTCTCTCTCATTGATGTTTCTATCTCTCTATCCCTCTCCCTTCCTCTCTGTAAAAAATCAATAAAATATATATTTAAAAAGAAAGCATGTCCTT